AAGAACCAAAAAATTGGTAGCAAATATGTATTTTTTTTTTTACTAAAAAGAAATGGAAGATTTAAATTAAAATAAATCTGTGAGATTAAGAGTTTTATAATTTAATATCAAATGTAAACAAATTTAATTTATGGAATAAATTAAAAATAAGAATAATTGCTCTAAATAATTTTGATAAATTACACCTATCAATAAACTATTATCAACAAGAAAGATAAAATAAAGTTTGAAATAAAAGAATGAACATGTTGAAATGACCATTCATAACTTTTAAACCTTTCATAACTTCATGAAGAAAAAAGAAATTACAATCAAACAAACCTATCCGTTTCAAATTCACTAGCTAGCGGTGGTGAACTGGTCAGATTTGGTGGACTGCTTCCCATTATATCCGTTGAAGGTGCTCTATTTAAATCTGCAAAAATTTTTTTAGTTAAAAAAAAAAACAATTCAAAAAAAAAATAGCAAAGAGGATGAAAGAAGAAGCTGGAAAAAAAAATGTTGCTAAGCAATTTGAAGACAAATTAAAGGACAGATTAATGAATAAATGGAATAAAAAAAAAAAAAATATCTTTTTCAAATATCACAATCTCTACTAACACATACCTAAAATATTCCAATTAAAATTTCATTTATAAAATTTTTCGACAGCATGTTAGCATAATTAATTGCACTAATATGCTAATTTTTAAATAAGCCACTAGAACAAAAATATAATCCATGAAAAAAATTTCAAAGGATTTCATTCCGTTTTAACTAAAAAAGATATCTATGATGCGAATAATTTATTCATAAAAAATTGCACCTACTCTGTATCATAAAGTATCATAAAGAGAGGCGAAAAATGATCGTAAATAATCTTTGAAATTATGAAAATATCTCATATTCATTCATCCATTTGACAATTTAATTATCATTAATGATTCCCAGGCATTAATCAAAAATTTGTATCGTTTAATCTAACCTGAATTCATCATTGTAAGTGATTTTTGAAAGATTGCAAGTTAGCAATTTATTCCGGGATTATAACAAAATGTTAATAATGAAATATGCATAGCTAAACAAGCAATTTATTGCAATACCATTTTTTTAACAAAATTAAGCAATCAGTGTAATTAATTGCGTATACGTAAAATATTGGAGAAAATGATGATGTTTCAAAATGAATTGATTCAGAATGAATCAATATTTAACAAACCGTCTGTTTACCTCATTCTACAGACTATCATTTTTATAATGAAAAAGTATTAAATTTAGGATTTTAAAACTTTTATTATAAAATGCATATTTAAAAGTTAAATATGCAATGATCGGTTATCAGTTGATATTAGTAAATATTGCTGAACTGAATTAAATTACACTAAAAGCATTTTCTAAACACTTTCTAGCATTTGTAAAACTTCCAAATCCTTCTCAATAAATTAACTACTATACTTTAGTAATGATAAATAAATGCTATCACTCTTCTATCACAATTCATACCGATAGATAAGTGTTATCACTCTTTTACCACATCTCATACCGCTAAATAAATGCTATCACTGTTTTATCACATCTCTATCATATCATATCCGATTGCAAATATTGTTAATAGTCCATTTGATGGAGTTGATTTATTTGAATGAATGCAAAGATAGCGATGAAATGAAAAATGTAATAAAAGCTAATTTTAAAAGACTTCTTTTTTTTTTACAGGATTAGCTTTACCCCATCATTTCTTAGATACGTAATTTTCTGATTTAATTTACTTAAAAAAATATAAAAATTTTAACAGTAAAATTATTACATTCTAAGGAGCACTATAACCAAATAATATTTAAAAAAAAAAAAAAAAGATTTTCATATCTATTCACATTTCTTCTAACTCCATCATTACAATTCATATCAATTAATTAACAGAAAAAAAAACTTACTTGAATCAAGTTGTTCTAATTCATCGTCATCTGATTCCGTTCCCGAATCAATCATTACCAATGCATTATTATCCTGAATTATTGCACAATTTACATCATCGTCCTGAATTATTTCAGGATATAGAAATACTGAATGTCCTGAATTATTTCAGGATACAGAAATATTGAATGTTCTGAATTATTTATACAAAAATATTTAATAAAAAGAAAAATATATATGTATGAAACAAAAAAAAAAAAACAAAAAAAAAACAAAAACCTCATAAAGTGCACTTATTCGAGCACTTCGACGATTTACTTGTTGAGGAGGTAGTGGTGAAATAATTGCTCCAGCTTGTGCTGTCATCGTTATTCCGTTATTTTCCGGATTGCTATTATTGGGAGCAGATCCAGTTGAACCGGTACTGCTTGTTATTTCTTCTTGTAGTGAATGTTTTTTGAATTTATTCACTAATTTACCGAGCATTTCCGCTCTTTCTTACCCTGTTTTCTATCCAAATTCCTTCTTGTTTTTTCTTTTCTTTTTTTTTTTAGAATCGAAAATTTACCAATTGTAATAATTTCACCAATTGAAATTTCACCAATTGACAGAGAAATAATGGCAGAAGCAATATGATAGGGGGAGAGGTTTTTACCTTTCTTTTTTTCTTTTTTTTTTTTTTTTGTATTGTTTTTCAGATATACTCTGCTGCTAGTAAAACCCGCATGAAGAAATTGTCCACTTAAATAAGCATACGCATACACGTTTGCGCTTCCACTACAAAATAATCGATATCTGAAACTTGCAAAAGTAGAAAATTTTAAATTATAAATGCTCTACAATAACGTTACAATTCTGTTATTACTATTGCTTCTTTGCATTGAATTCGAGCAATAACAGATTTCACGCAAAACACCCATTTAATAACACGTTCATACATTAATTAATACGAATAGAGAAGTGTAAACAAGAAGGAACTGAAATAACTTTTTTTCATACTCTTTAAGTTTAACTCTGCTCCGCGTAAAATTCACATGAATTTTCCCTTCAACAAAACAAGCTAATATGATGATTGGTAAAGAGAAAAATTCATATCATTTCTAGTAAATATTAAAAATCCCGAAAAAAGGAATAGAATTAAAATTAGAAAGGAATATTAAAATTATTATTATGATATTAATTTCAATTGTTCAAAAGACGTTGGATTTAATACGTAATAATCATTCATTCACGTACGTTTCAATATCATTCGTTTTTTCTTTTTTCCCTCATTTTATTCTATATTTGAAGAGTAAAAAAGAAACTTTTTATATTAATACAATCAATTAGGACAAGAAAAAAAAAAAAAACTCGATGAGAAGAAATAACATTTACTGGAACTAATCCAACAAAAATGATGGAAAAAAAATTGAATTCTTCATCTTTAAAAAAAAAAAAAAAAGAAAAAAAAAACATGGAATTCCTACATCTGCCAATAAAATAATGATTGCATACGTCCTCCTGTTCTTGTCATACAAAATGAATCAATCAATTCATTTTACTGTATACAGTGAATTGTTAAAATCAAATCAAAACAAAAAAAAAAAAAGAATAGAAAAAAAAAAGAAAGATTATATTGTTTTGAAATTGAATCTAATTTTTTCTGTCAAAAAAAAAAATATTTGTTTGCTATCTAAATTTCAAATGAACAAATAAGATGAAAAAAAATTCAGATATTTGCCAATTTTAACCATCGTTAAGGTTAATGAATGCATTTGTCATTTTCTTTTATTCATTTTTTTTTTTTTTTTTAACAACCAATGCATTAACAAAATGAAAAAAAAAAAAAAAGTTCTGCCTAACAATAATTTGTTGGGCATGTAATATGAAGAGAAAAACGGAGGTAATGGGAGGAGGAGGAGGACGAAGAGAAGGAGGAGAAGGAGGAGAAGGAGGAGAAGGAGGAGAAGGAGGAGAAGGAGGAGAAGGAGGAGGAGGAGGAGGAAGAGGAGAAGGGGAGGAGGAGGAAAAGGAGGAGGGGAGGAGGAGGGGAGGAGAAGGAGGAGGAGGGGGAGGAGGAAGAGGAGGAGGATGAGGAGGAGGAGGAGGATGAGGAGGA